ACCGATGTGCAGACGTTTTCACTCCGGCAGGTGTATTGGTAAACACCTCGCAGGAACTGATGTGCATATGGGAGATTTCTGCTAGAGTGCGCTGACACCTATAGCCCTTCGGGGACACGGTAATGGTGCCGGGGCAACCCTTACGGAGAAGGGCATACTCACGTTGGTCGGGGTAACCTGATGGGGGAGTTTTTGGTATAAGTGTGACTACTTAAGCAATATATACGAGAACTCTCCTACCCAGACACAATCAACATCCTCTCGAGAGACTTTAATTGAGATAAGCCTGAGCTTAACGATATTAAGTTTTACCATTTACTTTTATTCTTTACACTTTTGCAAGAGCTGTGTTCGAGAGATTCAAAGTTTGGTGCGGTCGCATCCTTAGGAGCCATCTACCTGAGGGAGCCCCCGTTACAATACTCTACTGTAGTAATACTTGTAAACTAGGAATAATACTAAGTAGAGGAAGATACCATATTACCAAGGAGAATATACATATGAAACAAATTAGAAAATTCAACAAGCTTTAGCACAGTGGATTTGAGGGAGGAGGGATTTGGTCAGTTATCTGATAGTTGACTTGGTTATCAGCGGGCAGGATATAGGCCTCCATGCCCATGAGGTGAAGGCTACCTGTTATGATTCAGACTATGTAGTTAGGTACCACATCAGACTCCCTCACCTCTTGGGCCCTCCTCCTCCTCTGTATCCATGAGTATGCTGGCACTATACTACCCAGGCACTCACCTGCTCTCCTTACCAAACAATCAAGCAGGTCTTCTACCTGCTTCCTCGTGGTCACCCATGCGCAGCTTCTCCTCACCTTTCTGGTCTTGCCCTCTAACAGACTAACCCTCTTTACTAACACCCTTATTGTGTAACAACTTTATATAATAGAGCTATGGCAACCAATGTCTACACCCATACCTAAGACCAAGAGATCAGATGATAGACTAGGTGAATATGCTAGAGCATCTCTGAGGGATATTGGATGGTCCAGATATTCTGAAGAACAGAAGGTACTTACGAAACAGGTGTACCTAAGTAGCAGAAGTAATGGGACTATGTCCACTCTGGTACAAGGATAGGTCGGAAGCCCATGTAAGTTTACCCTATCAAGAAGAGTCACATTACCCTACTATGGAGACCAGTTTTGTGTCACCATAAATATGCTTACCCTACCTTTGAGACACTATTACCCTACCTTCTATCAGAAAGGTTCTCAGAGGAATTTTGGGAAACATTGAGCTTGTTTATTAGGCAATAACAATTGATAAGTACTTGCTTGCATACTGATCAGAAGACTACAGGAGGAGCTATAGTACTTCAAATATGCTGGAACTTAACATAATAATTCTTAAGCGGTACCTGTGGCCCAAGGGTTCGCCCCGGGCATCTTGAGTCAAAATGGATGAAGTTGTCCTCTTACTAGTTAAATGGAGTCTATGAAGACATGTCTATAATATTGTATATGTCACTGCCATCCGTCTGACCAGAAGCTGTTCACAGGATATATTAGGGGGCTAAGGTGACAAGGTCAGGTACCTTCTCCAAAAGGAATGGAGTAAAACGGACCAAAACTGACGGAGTTACCATGAGCTATCCAGAATGGTCCCCAGAGTAGTTCCTGGTAGTGCTGGAGATATCTAGGAAGTTTTACATCAATCAAGCCTACATGTGCCCCTTTGCCGTAGGATACTTGTGGGTTGTTTGAGGACTCTAATAGCAGGATACTTGTTACAGTAAGTGGTGTGCTGGGGGTAAGGGACGATGGGTAGTACCTATGGGTCCTACCGCCACCACAGCTTTCTCCGAGAGCCCAGTAGACTTTCTAAAAATTCATAATCAAAAAAGATAGAACTTAACAGGAAGACAGCTGATATCTATCGGTGCTTGTATAGGTCATAGCACATGTGAAGAGAGTTATTTAATTAGCTTTCCTAGGTATCTCTACAGTTAACCACTGGCGAGACTCCAATATGTAGAGGTTTTCTCTCTGGCAAGTATATTGATAAACACCTCGCAGGAACTGATGTACATAGAGGGGATTACTGCTAGAGTGTGCTGACACGTTAGACCCTTCGGGGATGTGGTAATGGTACTGGGGCAACACTTATGGAGAAGGACATACTCATGTTGGTCGGGGTAATCTGATAGGGTAGTTTTTAGTATAAGTCTGACTACTTAAAGATTATATGAGAACTCTCCTACCCCGACACAATCAACATCCTCTTGAGAGACTTTAATTGAGATAGCCAGAGCTTAATGATATCCAGTTTTACTATTTACTTTTATTCTTTACATTTTACAAGAGCTGTGTTTGAAAGTTTCAAAGTTTGATATGGTGGCATCCTTAGGCACTATATACCTGAGGGAACAGCATTTACATCTTGTTCGACTGATATCCCCTCTGTCTGGTCAGACTGGCGACCTCCTCCCCTGGCTCTGACTCCTCCATGGGTCACCCACCTCTGGGCTTGGGAGCCTTGTTACAATACTACTAGCTATGTAGCCCCTTTCACGCAGTGCTTTCAGTACCATCTTTTCTTCTATATGCTAGGGGGCATGCGCTTTACCTGTAGTCCCCCCAGTAGCTGGACTTATGGGGTTTTCTTTACTTGTGCATTACCCTTTACCAGAAGTAACAGTGCTAGGAGTACATTTCTTTCCATGTTATTTGGTTAGTTATCATTTAAGTTAATGATACGAGAGATTCAATTTATCTTGGCCCCACATAGGAATAGACCAGGGCACTGGGAGGCCTGGCATGAGGAAGGCTATTGAAGATTTGACTATGGGGCAAGAGGTTACTTGAAAATATTTCTTTATTGTTTATATGTTTGGAATTAAGGTTTTTTATACACCATACCGCAAGGTCCATGCCCAGTTTTGTACCTTAAACAATAACTACATGAATTAAAAAAAAAATAACTAAATGTATATAAATACATATTGATACTTGTTTAAATTAAAAAAACAATAAAAAAACAATAAAATACAAATGATAAACTGTATTTAAAATAAATGAAAAAACAGAAAAATACCTCATCAAAAAAGCAGTTCATTAATTGGATTTCTTTTTTGTACGATGGCAGTTACAATCTCCTGCAACTGCCATATCGTAGGTGGAAACCCGGGGCGACACCGAAAATAACATTGGTCTATTACAATTCTTTCTTCCTCCAGTCACAGCTTGTGTCTTCTTTGATCCTCTTCCTCATGATTTCATCTACCCTGTTGGCCATGCAAAACTGTGCTGCATGCTGCACCTACCATGGCTGCAGCTACAGTAAGACTTGAAGCCATTCCATTTGTAGTCATCTCGATCGCCATCTGTTCTCATACCCATGCTGGCATTGTACTATCATTTGAAGTCATAAGAAATGTCTTTAAAGTTATAAAGAAAGTGTTTGACTGAAAATTCTGTTCGGCTTTGCCCGGTATGTTTATCTTTCCCTAGGTTCTCTGATGAAAATCTATTTAGTATCTATACTACTAGTAAACTAGTAAAATGCCAAGATACGCGGCGTCTCGCTGAGTGCTCACATGGTTTACTTTTGGATCGCATCTACTATATTCTAAAGAGGAAAACCATATAACATCTCAATTGCAGACTTGATCACATTTTGGATTGCGGGACTATTTAAAGTCTACTATCTTTGAAATAATCTTGCAAGCTTCAATCGTATTAGTTAAAATTACATATTTTACCCAAGTCTGATCACAGTATCACAATCTAAAGATAGCCTACAGGGGAGATCTGATGATAAGATAGCCGTTCTTAACGGTCATTGTATGATAAACTACAGAATTCGATTGTGTGTATATCTCTGCGCAAACACAAATCCAGCCCACTTTCCGGTAACTTCTTGCGTGAGACAACCATGATTTTTTAGTCGCGGGTTGGGCTCTCCGTGTTCCCTTGCGCTGCCCACCCCACCCTTTAGCTGTTTTCCGGTAGACACTTCTCATACCGGTACCATATGCTCTGGGTGATGATAACCCAAGTCTGGATTTTTGTGAAACATGCGCTGGAGGATCGACGCATGGGCGAAAACGCGGAGCGGCAAGGCCACTTGGGTCACAGTCGGTTTGGATAGAAGAGCCCCGAGACGAGCCCCTCTTCCCCTGCGCCGCAGCGCTGCAGATTAAACAAGGCCCTTCGATAGTGTGGTACCGGTATCAGAACATACCCTTACTCAAGCAGCGGAAACCATCACATTCTGGAGGCTGTCACTCCTACTGCAGCGGGGGAGGTGGGGCATTCAGAGACGCCAAGGAATTGCCGCGAGTTTGAAAGTGATCCTTGATAGAGCATCAGCGCGGGCAAACAATAGCGAAACAAATAGGATACTAGCACTTCGAATTAGAGTCACTCATTCCTTAGTAATGTATTCCAACTTGCCGTGATGGCAGTCATTCAAATACCGGTATCGTCCGTAGATTAATGCTTGAGTTACCCACAGTGTCGACCAAGGAGCCCTTTTTCACCCGCCTCATCGCCGCCATCCATCGCTCATTCCAAACTTAAAAAATAAATATTACCGTATCCAATGCCCCATTCAATTGTCTATAATAACCTCCTCTTTCCTACTTGCCTTCCTCCTCACTATCCCCCGCTCATAGCCTTGCGCCTAAATTCACACCCGACCCCCAGCCGGTTGTCCAGAACTCGAGCTTCCCCCGAGCCAATCGTCTGTGCCTCCCCATCCCTGTTCTGCATACTAACCCCGGTCACCTTCTGCTCTTTGAGCCTGCTACATGTCCGCTGCCACAACCCCAGAAATTCAGAGCGGCTCTTTTGCCAGCACTGGTCCGTTTTTTTCGAATTCTGGTGTGTCAGACACAGTTGGTGGTGTGAATGTCTGACTGGCCCTTGTAAAGCCAAGAGTAATTATCGGTACCCCAGCCGCAAAGTAATCCCTAGCCAAAATATTGAAGCCGCAAACACAAGGCCACTATCGATGCCTCTCTCCGCCATTTACCCTTTCACCACCATCCCCAATCCAACCCACCACCGTATCTCGCGAGCCTGGTTGTTGCGATAGGAAGGTTTAGGTATCATAATCGCGAGCCAAGGAACGGTGCCTCAAGTGCTGTTGGCTCTCCTTCCCCGAAGCAAGCCTCATTTTTCCCTCGCGTCTCAGCTGTTTAGTCGGCGTTTCCCTTCTGACAGCTCTAGATCGGGGAATTTTCCCTCCCCGGACACCGTTAAGCCTGCTTTCCCCTGCCACCCCACCCTTCTCCCCACAGCGGAACCGAATACGGAAGTCTCGCTGAAGGATCCCGACCGCGGGTTTCCCTGACACCTTGAACAAGAGTTGTTCCTCCATCCTCGAAAACTCCTCTAAACACTTTTTGTCTACTACCGTATCACACCGACTGAAGGGACTCCCAGCCCTATCCCCCCCCGACCTTATAATCTCATTCCCTATCTCAAGGGGCTTGTTACTATATGCGCATCTTGAGCCTAAGGAATCATGTTGGGCAAGGTTAGCTCAACCCAGTACTAGAATTGACGATTTGTAGGCGGCCTTTTCGGATCTTGTTCTACTTTGGTCGTTATCATTGTTGCATTGCCTTGTCTTGGAGGAGAGGGTATACCAGCTGATCGCGTAGCACCATTCAATCGATATATCTATCGCGAAGTTGATAATATCATCTATTATAACGAGGGATATCCTTCGAAGAAAAAGGAGGAAGGAACCTCAGGGGAGGAGGGGGTTCCTAATAGAATTCTCGAGGGGAAGGGCACACACCTTTTTTCACTGACTGGTTGATCACCCGACTGTTTGACGCTGGTGAACAGGGTCGATTACCACACTGGCCTGCCGCTAGTCCTAAAACTCTAGTAGCGCAAACAGTTTAAGGTGTCGCCGCCGCCTTTGAGCCTCCTTTTTCCTGCCGCTAAGCCGGAAGTACTTTACATAGGTTGGGGGAGACTCTCCCCCTCCGTCCCTTTCCCCTACTCTACTCTGCGAGCCTCTTCTACCTTCTTTTTTCCCGTCATCCTGAAACTATCGCCATCCTACTGAACTTCTACTATTAACCTTTGTCCTACTCAACGACCCGTTTTTTGTTCTTGAGCTGAGCTTAGTTATTTCCTTCCGAACCATCATACCCTTGAACGAAACACGAGAAGGCCGTTGGAGCACGCTATTTTTTAACCTCCTTTCAGCCTCTCAGCCTCATCGTCGTCATCAACACCATACATTTGACGACCCGCATCTCGGGCCTGCGCGATAAGTAAAACATCAGGGGATATCTCAGGATTACAAGACGAGTCAATTGCGACTCGCATTGGCTTCATTTACATCTACTTCTTCAGTCAGGTTTATTATGCAGTTTGCTGTCGCCTACGTTCCCCACCACCATCAATACCAATCGCACAAAACAAGAATAAGTGAGTTTAATTATCCCATCATTTCCCCGTATCATCGCACTGCTTTCCACAGCTCTTTTTGTCCTTTTTGATTTCATTCAATACTTCTTCCAATCCCCGCCGTCTACCCCTTATGTTTTTAGTTTTTGGCGTTCCTTGAAAAATGGCTTTCGTTTCTTTTTCCTTTTTTTTTGTCCTTTTTTCCGCTTTATTTCATCCCTCTCCATCATTATTTCTGGCAAGGAATATTCGGGCGATACTCGAAACGGTTCATGAATACGATTATGATGATCCCGTCGCGATTGAAAGTGTAAGCCGTGATGATAGGCTTACCGGTATTTGTGGGGCTCTGTGCTGGTCCAGAGCCTCATGGCTGAGCCGCATCACCGTTCCACCCTGACCACGACCGCGTCAAAATATCTCTTTCGTGGGCCAGAAGTGAATGGAACCACGTTGGTCATCACCCTGCATTGCTTCGATTCAGTTTGCCCGTTGCTGTTTTTACCCTGCTAGGCGGTTTCCGGTATTCTTTCCCCACTTGATATCATCGACTTCTTTTCTCCTTTGGCCTTCTTCCTTCTTACTACTATTATCATATATCATCCTTGACTTTTGCTTTTTGATTTCGGTTTTCTCATCATACAACCTCATCATTACACACCACTATTGTGCTCATCGTTTTTATTATTCTCATTATTTCATTGTTGAAGTGAGACACTAACCGAGATTCACCGCTTTGCTTTTCCACAGATCCTGATCAGCCAACAACATACTATCATTGTTCATCCCGAACTCGAGCCGCTCTAGAGGCTGGTCCCAGCAACACCGGCAGAGAAGCAGCAGAGCAATTTGCAACAAGCGGAATTCGAAATCTTTGTTATCGATATCAAGGGATTTGTGGTAAGAGCAACTATTAATACCCCAATTACAAAAGCCTGCTTTACTCTTCTTTTCTCGCTCTTATTAGGAGGTTCTAATCGGAATGCACTTAAGCGGCCCGGGGGCTAGGGCGTAGTTCAAAAGTCAATCATTACGAAATCTCAACTACCAAAAAGCCCAATCAAGTCACTCGTCGATCAGAGCCTCAGTGTGAGGGTAGCGGCTGCAGTGATCACCCAAGCAAGCGCGATCACCCGGAGCATGTGCTAGAATTTCCCGGGGCGCGGAAACTACAGCAGGCAAACGAAACATCTCTAGAACAGTCAAGAGAGTTATCAACATCTGCCTTGTTTTTCACCGCCTTACCGACCTTGATAGACCGATTAGTTTATAACCCTACCAAACAAACCCGTAAGCTATCATCATTACACACCGAGGGATCGCGGCAGGCGTTCCCTCAACAAAACGTTCCAACGGACCCCACCAGAGAAATTACGCTGAATCCTTACCTATATTCCGGGTCATTGGACTCAACCCGCTCCCCGCCGGATGAGTCTTGGTCTCGTGGCTCATCCCCGGGACTAGAACAAGCTCATCCTCATATATACCCCGACGAGCGGCGCAGCTCGGTGATATCTTTCGATTCGACGGTGGCTCCATCAAGTCCCCAACCAGCCAGTCCGGAATCGAGGAGAAGAGAAAGGCGGCCGCAAGCAACTCAGGCAGACACCGTGCTTCTCAAATTTCTTGCACCAGATCAACCGCAAGTTGCAATAAGAGCTGGCGAGAGTCCGCTTTCGTGGTCAACTGGGAGTGAAGGCAATAACGAAATTGATATGGAAGGCGGCGCACAAGATGGAGACGGTGGAGGGGGCAGTAAGGGAAATAGTCAGAACGAAAGCAGAGAACAGTCCACCGATCAACCGGGTGGAAGTATGGGTGAGGAAAGTAGTGAAGGCAGCGCGAACGGTGGGGAACCCGGGGCTTGTGGAAACGGCGGTGGTGATGAGCGGAAAGGGAATTCGGGAGGTGGGAAGGGAGGCCGCGGTGAGGGCGGAGACGATCATGAGGATAGCAAGGATTTGGGCAAGGGCAAGAACAGCGAGAAGAGAGAAAAGGTGAAGGTGAAGGGCAAGGGGAGAGATAAGGAAAAGGATGAGGATGAGGATGAGGATATGGACCAGATCCGGTCAATAGAAATAGACAATATGGATATTGACACAGTCACGGCAGATGGACCCAAGGGCCGCGACATCTCGAAGCCAGAAAATGGTGCACCCCCACCCGCGCGTGAAGGTGGCCCCGTGGAGGTTGAGCTCTCTTCGGAAACTGCAGTTAGTCTGATGGCCTTGGCGGCTGGTGACGATCGCCAACCCTTTACCCCAACAACATCGTTACCCGGCGTTCCTTTGAGAGCTGGCGGAACGGCTTGGGCTCCAAACGCCAGGGCAAAATCTCCCGACACGAGCCAGAACTGTGGACCGCCTCCGTCCCCTGGCCCCTCAACACAGCTGTTCCAGAATAACAAGCTTCCACTGTTGAACTCGCCAACGCAACTTCCCTCGATGATATCATCCATGAACCCCCAACCAGCAAGTCCGCCGAACGGTCTACCACCTGGAAACGACGGGCGACACACCACTCTACCACCAGTTTCGTCGATCCAGGTTCTAGCAGACATGGCTGAGAAGGCTATGCCGCCCCAAAGCTCAACGACTTGGCCCAACCCTCCTCGTATGCCTCAAAATCCCCGAATAGTCTATCCAACCGTCTCCTCTCATGTGAGCGTTGCTCCTTCTAACAGAACTCCTCAGCCCCCACGATCGCCTGGTCTTCCCGCTCCTCCTCCTGGGCAGTCTCCGCACGGTGGATTCGGTCCCGAAGCAAATCATCGACCCCCAGTTCACCACATGACCCACCAGCAGAAGCAGTTTTATTTGAACCAGGATCCACCATCATCACCCTACTACAGCAACCCCCACCAGCACTACCAGCCTCAATATCCTCCGATGAAGGAAGGTGCTTCGCCCAATACCAACGGACCCACGGTTTCGTATCAGTCCATTACCCATCGTGAATTACCAGGGATTATACAAAACCATTCCTCGCCTTCAAGTGCAACCACATTCTTCCCTCCCCCACCTCTCTCAGGGCGTAGGGATTCTGCCACGATGGAATACTACCCAGCAGGTAATACGCCCCCCTCTGGGCCTATCACAGGGGACACAATGCCTAGCCCTGGTACTGATGATACAATAACGAGCCCGAGAAGTCGCTCAACTGTGGCCCCCGGTGCTCAGGGAACGTTGGCTGGCGGTGGATTTAAATGCGAATTTGCTGGTTGCAAGGCCTCTCCTTTTCAAACCCAATATTTGCTTAAGTAAGTCGACGCCTCTTGTATGTAGCTAACTCAGCTAAACTCGTTAGTTCTCATGCCAACGTACACTCATCTGCCCGCCCCCATTACTGCCCGGTTAAGGGCTGTTCTCGGGGTGAGGGAGGAAAAGGCTTCAAGCGGAAAAACGAAATGATTCGCCATGGCCTTGTTCACGATTCGCCCGGATATGTTTGTCCATTCTGCCCAGATAGAGAGCACAAGTATCCCCGTCCGGACAATCTTCAACGGTATTACGAAAAATCCACTCGTGGAAGTTAAGCGCTGCTAACCTCTCGTGCGTTCTAATAGTCACGTAAGAGTCCACCACGTGGATAAAGACAAGGACGATCCCCAACTTAGGGACGTACTTGCCCAGCGGCCCGAGGGTGGAAACAGAGGCCGTCGTCGCCGTTTGGGCTCTTGATCATTTTTCCCTTTTTTCGGGGGCCTGCCAGGATAAAGTGTTTTCTTCATTCCAATCCGTGAACGTGCCTTCAATGGGTGGCCTCACTAGTATATGAAATCTTCGGTGTGAATTCTATGGGCTTTCTTTTAGTCTTCCTTGGTTCTTGTCGCTTTAGTCGCTTCCCTAGCCCGAGGGGTAAAGATGCTGGGTACTGCGCCGTTGGTTCAGTTCTTTTGCCCAATGGGATTGTTGGGGCATGCCTAGGAATATGGTAATGGACATGTGGGATATTCTGGAGCTTTTGCAAAGCGCTTCTACCCGCTCCAGGAGAGTGGTTATGGTAGGATGGTGATAGCGTATGCATTTACCCTTCTTTCTGGTTATTCGTTTTCTTCCTTCCCGATGTCCTGCAGGACCCTGTTCTCAAATTTCGCCTGCTTTTACGTTTGGAGTTTTCTTCTGTTACCTCTTTTATTCTCCTTTTTGTTCATGTGAAGGGTGGAGTCTATTCTTGATTTTTTCCCATTTTCTTTTCAAGTTCGCTTCTGAACAGGTACTATTGGTGTCACGATTCATTTGGGTTTCTTTTTCCGCCAATTCTCAAATTTGGCTTTCTGTAGCTTAAAGAATCGGCCGTATATAATACTTTCATGTGCAAATAGACTCAGCGGCTAGATTTTGATCCGGTATCGGATATTGCTTATTATTAAGGTATGGTTTAGATACACATTGACTTTTTCCGCCTTAGCCTCTCATGAATACCGAGTGAGTCCTGGTGAGTGGGCTGCCCAGTGTTGCCGTAGCAACCAAACTAACCTTATTTAGCAACGACACAAGCATTGGAAACAGTTGCACCCAGCTGCACCTACCTTGAAATCTCCTCGTATCTTTTGCCGGAGCGAACCAACCCCGCCGACAACCTCTCCCAAACATCGAAAATTCTGCGACTGGAAACCGAGATGTCGCGATTCTCTATTGAAAAAGATGGCACCCCGTGCCCGGTTCGTTCATCATTCACACAATCGGAAAATAACCACCAGAGTACCAGAAACCCACCCACATCCTTTCCTTTGATTGCTCCTGGGAGTGACATCGACGATGATTACATTGATGATCTGGACTACACGAGAGCTACACCTGCTGATTTTCACTTATTTCCTATTACTGGGCGAACCCGTAGGCGACGGGCAGTCTTGCATGAGCCGCCTAGGAGGATTACTGGATTCGTGCCGGCTCACAATCAACGGGCAAGTGATGAGAAAGGAAAAGAAAAGGCCCGGGAACGGGAGCGAGAGTGGGAGGGGGAAAAGGAGAGGGAGAGGGAAATGGCAAAGGAACTGGAGACGGAGAAGGAAAGAGAGTGCGAGAGTGTGAGAGAGCAAGGGAATCTGCGACCATCGGAGTCAAACTTCTACACTGATGTAGCATTAGCTCTGCAACCACAGCCGATCCGTGCACAATCTCTACATCAACAACCGCGCCGAGTGTTAATGAAAAGAAAGTTAAATGCCAAAAGTCGACGCAGAATTAGTGCTCTGCTTGCTGCCAGGACGAAGCAGCAGGCAGAGGCCTCTACCGGTTCTCCCAACACCGCTGAATCTAAGCCTACCAGTCAATTGGAAAGCTTACAACCTGCGGGTAATGAAGCACTTGGGGATAAAACTTATAGCACGGCAAATGTTGGACTACGCCCACCAGTGGATGAATTCAAGCGACCTGAGAAGAAGCCATTCCTCGCACCGCCTAAGCGGAGAACACTTCAGCCCCAATTGAGACTTTCTCACCATTCTGGATTCGATGCACCTCGCTGTGGGAACGCTGGTGGTAAGGAGAATATACCTCCTGGAGAGGAAGGGGCCAAAATAGGAGACCAAGAAACGTCCAGGAGGATACCGGCAAACTTTGACAGGAACTTGAACGAGAGGAGGTCCGAAATCAAACACACAGCTCCGTTCAAGCCCAGGGCCACCCAACCCATGCCCACACCACCACGTGAATCCATGAAGAGACTCAGTGAAGCTATGGCTCCGGATGGGGAGGATAGATCATTCGGCTCATCCATACCCTGTGCTAAATCTACGAGTTCTCAACGAAGCTCGCTGGAAGACCCTAGACAGCTCCGTCTAAAGCGCAGGAAGATGAGCAATAGACTTCTACCAACGCCGCCATCATTATCACGGGAGGAGGAGGCAGAATTGGCACCATATTCGCTCCGTTTGGACCCACCCCCGCCGATAGCTTCCTTCCGTCATGTGAACGATAAGTCGACTAAGCTACAACTGAATCCTCTTCTCAAAGAAGATATATCAAGAACTGAGATGTATGAGGACTCTTGGCTTTTCGCCCAGGAATCCTCCGTTTCGCAACTCCTCAATTCGATTCTTTCCCCAACATTCGCGGAACGCTCGGATCCCCAGACAGGTGAAATTCGGACGCGTTTTGTGAGTGTATATTCCTCGCCCCCGTTCCCTCTCTTGTTCAAACGATTACAAGCTAGCTTGCTCTATGGAGCTCTAGCAGTCCCCAAAGATGTTTTGGAGAAAAGCTCAGCGGCGAAACTTAGTGGCGGTGGTGCGGGTTTGAATGGCCAAGGCTGGGGATGGGCAGAAGATTTAGCTGTGAGGAAGAAGTTTCTCAATCTCATTATGGAAACTTATGAGACCGTGGCCTTGGTTCCTGGGTTGGAGGTGGTCATTGGTAGAGAGATGTTTGTTACTACGCCTAAGACTGTTTTGGATCAAAGGAAAGTTACCGAGGGCTTTGTTGAAAGGTACCTGATGCGCAGCGAGGATACTCTGACTTGCCCTCCAATCGAGGATAGTTGCAGGAGAGGCGCTGCAGAACGGCATTCCCAAGGTGATAATGAAGATTGGGGTAGTCCAATCTGGCTACTCAGGAAGAGTATCCTACGCAGTTTGATGCTCGTCTTACTGTTGGACAAGGCCAAGACTCAAGGAATTTTAGGCCGCAAAAATTTGTTCAAGAAGGTTAGTATAAACTTGCTAAGCGTTCCTAAGGAATGGAAGCACTAACGATAATAGTCATCCCCTCACAAATCTTCGGCTTCAATACTGCATACCTTATCCAGATTACTCCTGCCCTCAGTCGGTGACATTTTGCGACCCCTGGGGCATCTCAATTACTTGCCGGAGATCTCACAGTGCCCGCTAGAGGAGTATGAGTATGAGATCACAAATCTGGCCGTTGATATGCGTGATGGGGTCCGCCTCACTCGTGTTGTTGAACTACTCCTTTCCCCGAGATCTCCGGCTGCCATTGCTGGGAAAACCCCTCAAGCGAAATGGCCCCTTAGCTCGAACCTCAAGTTCCCAGCAACATCTAGAGCTCATAAATTGCACAATGTCTCCATAGGACTTTCGGCCCTAAACTCCGTTGGGGGTAACCCGCGGGGTGTTAGTGCGAAGGACGTTGTAGATGGGTCCAGGGAGAAAACTGTGGGATTACTCTGGGGTATCGTGAGTCGGTGGGGTCTGGAGCAGCTTGTGGACTGGAATGAAGTCAAGCGGGAAATCCGAAGCCTCCAGGCTCGTAAGGTGCCGGCGCATACGAGATACTCTGCCTTGCTCGTCACGGATTGCTGCAACAACGGGCCTACGAATCATGTTCGGTTGTTGAAGGATTGGGCAGGATGTATCGCGGCGGCTCATGGAATCCAGGTCGATAACTTGACGACGAGCTTCGGCGATGGGCGTGTTTTCCAAAAGATTGTTGAGGAGTACGAACAGTACTTCCCGGTGGGTGTAAGGAGGGAGAGGGATGCCCCGCTAAAGGCCAAGTTGCGGGCCCTCGGCTGTAGCTCCTACTTTGGTAGGTTTCGGCTGGGCTTTCTGTATGAATCGTGTACTGATTTGTCCCCAATTCCCAGCTGGTTTATTTGACGATGTGAAGAGAACGGATAAAGTCTTTAGCAAAGATTTTGTTATTGCTGGATTGGCGTACCTGTGTTCGAGATTGTTCCAGTGGTCTATAAAAGAACGGGTATGTCAGATTATTACCTTGCTTATTGGGATTAGGGGTGATAACGTTTTATAGGCAGCAGCTGCGATCCAGAGGTCCTATCGTGCTTACTTATGCCGCCGCGATGCCCATAAGCGGATCAATCTTTTGCTACTTGCTCACCAATGCTCGAATGTCGTCAATACTCGCAACCGCATCATCAACGCTGCCACCACAATCCAAACTGCCTACCGGCAATATCTTCACATCAAGATCACTAAGCTCATTGATAGCATTACGAACCTTCAATCAGCTATCCGCGGGAAGCTGCTGCGCCAAAAGTCGGTGAAATACGGGTCTATGGTGGTGTATTTGCAGCAGAAATGGAGAAATGTCAGGGAATATAGGTTTCAGCGGCGGATTGGAATCGCAAGAGAAGCTACAATAGGATTCCAAGCCCTAGCTCGAGGTTTGCTTCTCAGGAACAACCACCAAAACTTACGGAGTGCTGTGTCCATTGTTGGGAGACGCAGAAGGATGTGCTTAGAGGGGCGAATAGCGCGCGCCCAGCACATTATTTTGAAAGAAGCGACCCTCAAGATTCAAAGATGGTGGAGGGATCAGATGGCTATACGTGATCCGAGGAGGGAACTCACGCTTGCTGTCCAAAGCACCATAAGATTACAATCTTTCATTAGAGGGAAATTCGCTCTTAACAACTATAAGTCACTTTCCGCTGCTGCATTATTCGTCCAAAGAGGCTATAGGTCCTGCAGGGATGGACGGACAGCGCAACTCGAGTTCCTCGGCCTCCGATTAGCTACTCTCGACGTTCAGCGGCGCTACCGGTCCTCCTTACAAGCTCGAGAAGATAGGCAGCGATATATCATACTTCGCACACGTTCAATTCAACTTCAACGGCACTGGACCGAACTAGCTCACAGGCGCGGTGCTGCTATTGTCCTGCAGAGAGCTTGGAGAAGGTTCGCCTGGCTAGTCAGACTGCGAAAGATGCTTGGTGAAGTAGTTACTATCCAGAGTTTATGGAGGGGTTACAAGACCAGACAAGAATCTAGTGCACGGGTTAGGATTGCTAGGAGACGTGTTTCTAAGGTTATGTCAACCCCTATATCGGAAGGGGATACCTTAGTCGGCAGACTGAACAAAGGCTTGGAATTGATGACGACAGCAGGCGGGTATGGCAGAGGTGTTATGCAACTCGGTATCTTCCCCTCCACTATGAGCAAGCAAACAGAACTAACTGAGAATAGAACTTGCAACCCGCTACTCACGTGAATGCGTTGCTCTAGCCACCAGCAACGAAACAGCAATATCAACCCTCCTCCAAAATATTGAATTCTCAATCAATCAAACCCAGAAATCAATCTCCTCAATCCCTGCTCGTAACCTAGTCCTGGGGATGAACGTGCTAGCAAATATTTCAAAGTCAGCAGCTGCATTGCGCGCCTTGGAACATCGTACACTTCCGGCACCGGCAATGGGCCGGAAGAAGGTGTCCACTCACGGCAGCAGCAATAGCGGCGGCAGTCAGGACATATTGGCGATCCTGCTGGACGCGATCGAGGTGCTTAGAAGTGCACAGGCTAACACCCCGCAATCTGGGTTATTCCTAACCACCGTGGGTGTTTTGAAGGCGTTGCTTGCGAACGAAGTTATCCGGGCACGCTTCGTCGCAAGGAAGAAGTGTATCGAGAGGATCTCCAGGTTGGTGGACAAGAATAGGACGGAAAGTACGAGGAAAGGTGTTACTGCTTCTAGAGCCGCTGGTGTTGGTGGTAGCAAGGCGGCTCCATTAGTGAAGTTATTAGCACTGGAGGGTATAATCACACAGCTTGGAAATTAAGAATTACGGTAGTATTATAACTTTCATAAGGAGGTAGGGGGGTTCACAGGGTAACCATGAACAAGGCCCGGGTAGTGCCTTGCCCGCACACGGGTGGTTTTCGGATGAAAGGTGTCCTGGTTAATATTTGGGTTTTATATACAAAGACTGGGATAAATTATTCTGTGTAATTAGGGTGTTATTTTATGTCCAGTTTTTTTTTCCTTCAACTCGAGATGGGGGGAACTGCGATGATGATATGCCGCCACCCCTGGCCAGAAGTGTTCGTGCTCCGGGACATGGTAAACTGCGAGGGTAGAATACCGGTACGGTAACCACTCAGTGGAGTCCTCGTGCATCCAGACCCTTGCCAAGAGGAGGAAGTCTAAAATTGACAATAGTCTGTGCTATATGAGGAAGAAATAAGATACAACATCAAAGCGGAAAGGGGATCAAACTCGGCTGATCTTATTGAGTGGCCAGAGAGTGTTCAAATGATTCTCACTGGCTTCAAAGGAGGGATGATGTATACGGCATATCTGTACAACTGGAATTTAAAAATAAAATGTATTAGATAATTAGGACAAGACTAATTAACAGGTAGATTTAGACTTTTGAAAGGTATATATTATGGTGCGGAGCAACTACAACCTGTCCCAACGCCGTTTCAAAATGTAATGCCTGATGTAATGAGGGTTAGGGGTAATAATCCACAATTTTGGTATAGAATTCAAAGCATGATAATGTGATATCTTGGATACATATTTTACTCTTCAAGATGCCTTGATTTATCCTCTGTATATATGCTTTATTATTGGTATTACTTGGGAGTGTTAAATAGGTGATTTAGTGAGATTTGTTAATTGAGTGTTTCTGGCAAATTATTTACATGACAATGGGAAGGATACTTCCTTTTAGCAATACTCTTATATCATACCAGAATTGTGGATTATTACCCTTAACCCTCATTACATAATGCATTACATCATCCTCCATTTCCATTACAACTCTGGTCATTGAAAAATATTTCCTATTTGGGAACAACTCAACACTAGAGAACTATCACTACTTTTTCCATCACACATCCCCCCTACAGGGGGGGTGTAGACCATCAGCTCTTCAACTCTGGAGTGTTCTCTGCCCTCCCTCGTCCTCCTGGTGACCCCTCCTCCTCCCCCCAGGAGCCTATCCAGTGCTCCACCTCTCCTCTTGTGCCACCCTAGCTAGGCCTCGCTTAGCTTTAGCTTAATCAGCTTGAGGCAGGAGGGGTTTGGTTAGCTAACAGATGGTCGGCTTGGTTATTGGACCTGGGTGGTGGGCCTCCATGCCCAGGGTATTAGACCTCAATACCCATGAAGCCCCCTCTGTGATCCAGGATATACAGTTAGGTGCTGCATTGGACTCCCTCACCTTTAGGGCCCTCCACCTTCTCCTCACTCATGGGTCGGCTGGTACCATACAGGCCAGATACTTGGCTACCCTCCTCCCAACAATAGAGCAGCTCTTCTACCTGCTTCCTCCCAGTTGGCCACAGGTGGCTTCACCTCATCTTCCTGGCCCTGTTCTCTGGCAGACTGTAATGACTCTACGTTATAGAGCTATGGCAACCTTG